GTGAAGGGAGGGCTAGGAATGGGGAAAAAATAAGAACCAAGATGCATTATGTAAAGGTACAATTCCCAATGAGCAATGTAATTGTATTGTATACCTAAAATGTACCAATAAAAGAATTTAACAACAACAAAAAAAACTACATAAATTAAGTTAAAGGAAAACATAGGACTGGGAGAGAATATTTGCAAATTCTATATACACTAAATATTTAAACTCCAATATATGGAGAATTTTTGCCATTTAATAATAGTACATAAAAAATAATGATAATACATAAAAATCATTTAGAAGTGAACAATAGATTTCAATATATATTTCTCTAAAGAAGATATACAAATTGCCAGTAAGTAAAAATGTCCAACATCATTATTCAGGGAAATTTACTTTAAAACCATAATGGAGTATCACAGCATACTCATTAAAATATTATGCTAAATAAAATAATAAGTATTCATAAACAAGAAGATCTACTCAAAACCTCATACATTTTTTATGATTTTGCAAAACCAATGCAGTCTTATATGTCATTTTTTCATATGAAATACAAATTTAATATTTGACCAAAAATTGCACTTTTTACACATGAGTATACAAACATACTTGTGTAGAACGCTACACAAATATTTAATTATTGTGCTGTTTATCACAGCATAATTAATAATAGCCAAAAAAAGATTAAACTGCCTATCAATTGGTGAATAAATCATCAAAATTTGGCATATTCACTAAATGGTATGCTGTTTAGCATAAACAAGAAATCACATGGATAAACCTTGAAAATATTTTGCTAAGTCAAAAATTCAGACAAAACATTCCATATTATATGATTCTATTCAACAGAAATATCCAGGGTAAGGAATTCATGGAGGTAAGAATCAGATTAGTGTTGTCTTAAAGTTTGGATAGTAGGGGAATGAAGAAAAATTGATGGCTACTATAGAATTAATTATGTAGGTGTTAGATATGCTCAACTTAGGTTATGGTGTTAATTGAACAATTATTTAAATTTATTAACAATCATTTACTTTTACATTTGAAACAGGGAGGATCTTAAGTGAATTATGCTGCAACAAATCTTTGTAACATAAATGAATTAAAGAATTACAGTTTACAACATAGTCTAGTGGAAATTAATATTACAAAGTGTCCATAAGTAAAAGGAAAATCTATTCATTTGAGAACATATTATTTTACCTTAGCATTCATTTTGTTGTTTCTTTCTGAAAATGCTGCCTGACATAATTGAAGAATAGCATAGTGGTAAAATACTCAGCTGGTCCTAAACGTTTTTGTGTTAAGCTTCTGAATGCACATTTTATTAGCTAGGTAACCTTAAATATATTATCAATTTTTTTATTCTTAAATTGTTTCATCAGAAAAACAAGGATAGTTATTAGGTCCTATTATGAGTTTGTTAGGGCTGAGTTTGTTGTTTAAAAATTCAAATATTTAATTGACACAAAGTCTCTGGATAAGTTATAATCTGATAGTAAACTGTAAATTTCTTTGAAGCTTTTACACTTACAGATCAAATGATGAGAAAAATAAGTTTTCAGAAAAGGCCTAATTTTCTCACATTTTTTGTTGTTTCCTTTAGGTGTCTTCAATGTCCTGGGTTTGCCTGTGACTCAGTGCCCACTGGGTTTGAATACCAAAGGACTTCCTTTAGGAATCCAGGTTGTGGCTGGACCCTATAATGATCACTTAACCTTGGCTGTGGCCCAGTACTTGGAGAAAAGTTTTGGGGGCTGGGTATGTCCTGGAAAGATTTAGCAGGATATTCTCCAGGTGAAAGTGTGTGTATGAGTGTGTTTCTTGATTGGGTAAGATAAAAGACAGCAGAGAAACAGATACAAAAACAATGTAGAATTTATTCACATATTCAGTTATTCTTCTGCTTTTATCTATTTCAGTTTTTCCTTACTGTAATGGTCATAATTGATTTCCACTTTCATTTGATTAGAAAATATGCTTATGTAAAAAGATAAGGGCAATATAATTTCCAAATGTTCTAATGGTGTCTGTTTTATATGAAGTATGGAGAGCAAAGGAACGGTTAACTCTAATGAGAACATCTTAGGAAATAGCACAAAAGAAATTATGCTTAAACTGAGAATAGAAAGACACTTATGTGTTTTCCAGCATGGAGTAAAACAATTATATTAAAAATGACCAATAACAACAAAACAAAGCATAAGACTGCACAGTATATTTGCGCAGCAGTACAATGGTAAGACAGTTTTGGAGATGCAGAGGGGTATAGATGCAATGAGGCCATAACTGGTAAAGGACTTCCAATGCCAAAAGGTTAAAAAACTATTTCATATTTTTCTCCAGTAAGCTCTAGGCAACTACTATGGAAATAAGCATAAAGATTCCTTAAAAACATGAAAATAGAAATTACATTTGACCCAGCTATTCCCCCTGTAGGTATATTCCCAAAAGAGTTAAATACATTATATTGTAGTGATTGTAGTGATACATGCAAACCCATGTTTATGGCAGCACAATTCATAATAGCTAAATCTTTGAAGTGATAAATATATATATATATATATATACTTTGAAGAATAGGTAAAGTGTAGTATTTTTATACAAAGAGTACTGTCTGCCATAAAGAAGGATAAACTTGAATCACTTGTAAAAATGAATGCACCTTGAGATCATAATGTTAAGTAAAATAAATCAGAGACACGAAGTTAAATGTCACATGGTATACTTTTTATAAGAAACCCTAAATACAAATAAAGAGGAAAATAAAAGATAAATGGAAAATAGGAAAACAGATCCTTTGAAAAAATCAAGGGAACCAGGTGATAAGGGGAAGTGGAGGAAAGGTAGGGGAAAGTGTTTATGAAAGAATTAACATGTGTTGTGTACATGTACCAACCACCATTCCCAGAATGAATGAAATCACTGTTCTGGAAACATAATAAAAAATAAAAATTGAAAAAAAAGGTCTAGAATCAATGGCACCTGTGTAAAAGTGATCACACATCACACTCACATTTTTGTTTCCACATACATTCTTCCAATAAAATGAACCCAGTTTTCTAGGTGAAAAAACACTGTTCTCAGGACAGAGGTAGAAAAACAGTTAGAAGAATCATTCCACTTGAAGACAGGACTTGAAAATACATGGGGGAAGTAAAAGAAGCAAAAGGAAAAAATAAAAATCCTTGTATGATCTATAAAATATCACTAAAAGAGCAACCTATTTCACTGGAGTATTTGAGACAGACCATGACAGTACAGTGGGAATGTGGATCAGGCCTTTTTGAGCATACAGATATATGGTGGCCTCATTAAGAAAAAACTAAACATATCGCATCTACTATCCATTCTCAAGATCATAAAGCAAGAGTGAGAATGTATTCATTGGAGGGTGAGAGTAAAAATGGGGCCCCTACGGGGTTCTGAATCACACCACAGATGCTAAAGGCAATCACTGCTGAGGAATCATGTGAACTTCACCACCTTTGTTCCTTTTTGGGGAACTTCTAGACTGTCAAACCACTGCATTTTTGGGAAAAAAAATCCTAGCTCATTTTGTGTACCTTGCTTAATCCATGTCTAGCTGTGTGAAGCCACCTCAATACCCCCTACCTGAGAAACTAAAGAGGTGGGCAGCTTCTTGCAGAAGTAACATTGGTAAAGCCTTGTAAAACATCCAAAAATCCCCAGCTATTCTTTACAGCCATAACAAACATGGGGATTAGCCATCTGGAGCAACTCAGCCTACAGAAATTAATTGAAATTCTCTGCTTATTTTCCTGCATTCTTGGAATTAGTCAAGTAGTTCTTCCCACATACCTTCATCAAAAGAAAGTTTCTAGAAAGCTTCGTTCACTCTTCTTCCTCAAAAGTACTTGGCTGGTGGCAATTATTCCCCTCAGATCTGGAAAGTAGCTAGACAACAAGTTGTAAAGAATCTCTGTTCTCTGAGGCTACTGGGAAGTAGCAAGGTGGTCTTGTACAACTCCTCAGCTCCTAAGCATAAACTGGCAGCCTATTCTTAGTAGTTTGGCCCAACAAGGACAAAGAGAGCAGGACATTGGCTCTAAATTCCTGCATGTGATCCCAGGAATCCACTAAGAAACATCGAAGAGCTTGACCTGCTAAGGATCCTAGGAAGAAACTGGCTATCCTACCATCCCCATAAGAAGCAGTTGAGTAACATGTTTTCAGAAGCTTGAGCCACTATGGCCTTGTAAAGCAGATTGATAAACCTTGCACCCATTAACAGCTAAGGTAAGGACCTTGGCAGACAAGGCTGAAGCTGCACAAACACTACACTAAAGCATCCACCTGAAAACAAAAGCAATGAAGCATATTCAAACAATACCATAATAAACAGCAATAGTAAAAAAAAATTCTATTATGAAAGCCACTCTATAATACAATAAATGCAACTGACCCACTGGATTCAACAATACCACTGTGGGAAAACAAAGTAATATGATACATCTAAGGGAACACAATGACTCTGTGGCAAAAGACTACAAAAGAAAATTATATTAATGATTTTCTGGACCACAAATTTGGATTTTAGGAAATTTAATAATATCAGAAGAATAAAGATAAAGAATTCAATGATATTGGAAAAGTAACTCATGATACAAAAAGGAAATTAATCAAAGAGATATAATACTCATAAAAAGAGCCAATTGGATATTCTAGAGGTAAAAATTCAATCAATGAAATAAATCCAGTTGAGAGCTACAACAGCAAAATTAATCAGGTAGAATGTAGAAATGTTCTGAGCTTGAATAAACATCTTTTGAAATAACTTGATCAAATGAAAGATATTTTAAAAATGAAAACTACCTTTAAGATACATGTCACCTCATGAAGAGATTGTGACAGTTAATCTTAATTGTCAGCCTCATTGGAATGAGAAACCCTTGGGAAATTAGTAAACCACCTATCTGAGTGTTTCTGTTTACAGAGATGATCAAATCATAAAGATATTGGGTCCAGGGATTTAGCTCAGTGGGGTTCCTGCGCCTGCCTCGAAAGCACAAAGTCCCGAGTTTGATTCCCAGTACCAAAAAAAAAAATCATAAAGATATTAATTTCATCAGTGTATTTATCCTTTCATGAGGTCTTAAGTTGATGACATTATTGGGAGATGGAAGCAGGAAGTAGGACTTCACTATAAGGAGTGGATAATGAGTTGTGACCTTGGAAACTGTATCTGGTCTTTTGCTACATCCTCTCTGGCTCTTTCTTCCTATTTGCTTCCTGGCTACAATGAGGTTAGCAGCTCTCCTACAGCAAGCCTTTATGTCATGATAATTTTTTTACCTTGGAGATAGCCAGCTATAGACTGAAACTTCTAAAATGATGAAACAAAATAAATATTTTAATTTAATTTGCACTTCACATGTACTTGGTCAAAATGATGAAAAGCTAATTCACGCAAAAAATGCCACCAAGAGAGGAGTCATTGCTGTTATTATTCCCTGATCTTGTGATTCAAAAGCCTGTATAACAGGTTTTCAGAAGGAGTTTGGAAATGTTTGGAGGTGCTGGCTAAAAAAATCCTAGAATGTTTTATGTAGAAGTTAATGTATTATTCTGGTATGAGGTCAGAAGACCAGGAGAGTGCTAGGGATGCAAAGAAAGCTCCTGAAATTTCAGAAATTGAAATTTGAAGAAATTGAATTACAGGCCATTTGTTTTACACTCTGAAAAATAAGTCATCTACATTTTGTCCATGTCCTGACATTTTGTGGGAAGCAGAAGTTAAAGCTAATAGATGGATTATTCTGCTGGAGCAAATTTCAGTGCCACACAATGATCAGTTTGTGACATGCATATTGCTGGCTGATTTTTGAAAGATCTACATTATAAATTGGCAACAAAAAGGGAAGAGAAAGATTTGGGAAAATTGCAATTTGGCAGGAGTAAAACACATATGTATTTGAGGCCAAAGAAACGGTGGTTGCTTAAAAGGTTAGTGGAAGTAAAAAGAAATCAAATACTTTTCACTAGTACAATTAGAACAAATTATTCAGACCACACTCATAACAAGAATAGGGGTGCATATGTGTAAGCATTTTTCAAAGACATTGCTTTGTGGATTGAAGCCTGAGGCACCCTGCTTTCAGGTGTCATTCTTGAATTGCTTCCCTATATTTGATGTCAACTTGCTTCACCATACAGACACCCAGAGCCCACTGCAAGTATGGTCTCAGCAGCCCCAACTACTGCTCAAAATGACAGCAGAACTTGATTTCATGCACACTGTTATGGTTTATATCTAGATGTTCCCCCAAAACCTCATATACTCATGGGTGGAGCTCTTAAGAGGGAGCTGGAGGATAGGTGTGTGATACTAGATTAGACCACTGATTGGTTTAGCATAGTCCTAGGTGTGGAAGATGGATTTACTCAAGAAGGAAGACCCACTCTGGGTATGGATGGCACAAACTAATAGGCTTGTATCCTGGATAGAATAAAAAGGAAAAGAAGGAAGTTTGCCTGTTTCTTGCCTTCCAGGCCATGGACTGTTTCTGTTCTTCCATGCCCTTCTGCCATACTGACCTGCCTTGGAGACAGCAAACTATGGAATGAAACCTCTACAAACTGTGAACAAAAATAAACCTTCCCTCCATTAACTTGTGGGTGTCAGACATTTCTGTGCCAGCAATGAGAAAGCAAGTAAGAAAGATTTTTGTACCAGAGAAGTGGGGTTGTTGCTGTGCTGCTATCTGGCCATGTGGTTCAGAAGCCTTTATAACTGGCTTGTGGAACAAGTTTGAAAAGATTTGGAAAATCCAGCTCAAGAAGCAAGGGAACAACTTTGTGAGCCAAGTTAGATGACAGACTCTGCTACTAAGTCTAAAGTCTCTGAGATTCTTATAAAGTAAATATCTAATGGAGGACATTTCAAGACCGTACAAATAGTCAGGTTGCATATTGCTGGTTTCTTTAGAAAGATCACTCAAAATTGGCAACAATTAGAAAGACAAATATTTGGAAAACTTGCAAATGGAAGAAATTAAAGCTAATTTCTACTGTCTTCAATTGTATCTTGTGATTATCTAACATATTTTAAAATTTTTAATGGGGCTTCTATCTATGATTTTGCATTGAGTCTCAGAGAATAATTTGGACTTAGACTTTTGAGAAATCCAGAACTTCTAGACTTTTGAAAGGACATCACTGCATTTTCAGTTATACTCAGAAGAGTTATAATATAAGGTAAAATTATGTCCTTGTTGTTTTCTTTTTTTATTCTTTTATTGGTACATTTCAGGTATACAACACATTTACA